CTCTATCTATTTATCTATCTATTATCTATCTATCTATCTATCTATTATCTATCTATCTATCTATCTATCTATCTATCTATCTATTATCTATCTATCTATCTATCTATCTATTATCTATCTATCTATCTATCTATCTATCTCTCTATCTCTCTATCTATCTATTATCTATCTATCTATTATCTATCTATCTATCTATTATCTATCTATCTATCTATCTATCTATCTATCTATCTATTATCTATCTATCCATCTATCTATCTATCTATCTATCTATTATCTATCTATCTATTATCTCTATATCTATCTATCTATCTATCTATCTATCTATCTATCTATCTATCTATCTATTATCTCTCTATCTATCTATCTATTATCTCTCTATCTATCTATTATCTATCTATCTATCTATCTATCTATCTATCTATCTATCTATCTATTATCTATCTATCTATCTATCTATTTATTATCTATCTATCTATCTATCTATCTATCTACCTACCTACCTATCTATTTTTCTGTGTAAGCTCAACTCACCTGCAGATTTACTCACTTTACTTTTTCTAGAATAATATTAAGAGGACAGAATAGATATCTGAAAAGGATACACAACCAAACAGGCAAGTTTAAAAATTTGCTAAATCATTATTCACACACTTCTAGATCAATGTTCCATCACATTGTATGTGCTGTAGGATATTATAAGTTGATATATATATACTCGGTTTAAGAACACCTCGGTTAAAGTAATTTTCGGTTTACAAATGAAAATCCACTGAAAATAATGCCTCGGTTTACAAATTTTGTATGAATTTTTTTCGCAATACGAAGTGTATGTCGGTGCTGATTTTTAAATGCAATTTTTTTTTCTTCACTATAGCTCACAGAATTAGCTGTCACTTTTCCCAAAGTTAACGGAAATGTTGTTTCTTTTAAGAAACTAAAAAGAAACATTGTTTGCCCCCCCCCTTTCCTGACCTGCCATGCTGCATGCTCTGAATTTGGTCTGGTATGGATTTTGGGGAGGACCCCCACGCCATTTTGTTTTAAATGTTGACGTGGGAGTTCCCCTCAAAATCCATACCAGACACGAAAGGCTTGGTATGGATGGGAAGGGTGACCCCACACAGTTTTTAAAATTATTTTTTTAATTGCTGGCAATTCTTTTACATTCAGCTGTCAGTGGGGAACCCTGCTGACAGCTGAAATATTAACACATGGTTGTCACTACTAAAATGTTGCATGACTTGATAAAATAACTCATGCAGTATTTATTAGTGCTTACTTTTTTCTGATCTCCGGAACAGATTAATTGGTTTTCAATGCATTCCTATGGGAAACGGCATAAGAAAAGTCCTGCAGAACGAATTAAATTCTTAAACCAAGGTATTACTGTATATATATATATATATATATATATATATATATATACTGTATGTGGTGTATTCTCATGTTATTGAGTTGGCCAGCATAGAACTGAGCTAGATGTATTTTACACAACAAAAGGATAACCTAGGACTCTTTGCTATGTTCATTTTATGCAAGATCACCTTGGCACTTTGGGGCCAACTTGTTACATTTCAAAGGAGGTCATTTGCAAACTCACAAGGGTGATAAAATGCAGATTGCTCAGTCAGACTTGAAAGGACTTGGCCAGCATCTACTGTCTAATAATATGAAAGGGGTATTAAGTATGGTAAATAGCATTCTTCAAAGGATAACTTGTTTATCTAATTAATAGTAAAATAATGTAGTTTAGGAAATATCTAGACAACGTTTATTAGAATTATGACCATGGATGCCCCATACTATGGGAGATATCACTGCAAAGGCACTTCAGCCATGGTCGGTGATCTCTCCTCTCTCCTAAAGTCGGACGCTGGGGGGTTCATATGGTCTCCCCAACGCCCTCAGGATAGGAAGGTATAAGAATCTTCCATATTCAGAGTAGTTAGAATAGCAGTTAAAAGGTGGTTGGGATCAGGTTTAAGCACAGTTAAGAAAAGCCTGGATTTCTACTTTAAAGCACTCTAAGAATTAGAAAACATCTACCCTTGCAATCTCACGTGGAAGAAAAATATGTTTTAAATATATTTTTAAAATATTCTTCCCAAATATATTGACATATATTTGATATACTACAGTTTTAGCGATATTCGATATATTAACAAAAAATGATTTATATATTTATATATATATATATATATACTGTATGTTGAAATTTGTTTTTTTATTTATTAAAACATATATGAAAAATATTTTTAAAGATACATTTTCAAATATACTGTATGTCTTCGAAAATACATTTAATCTACATTTTTGGAATGCATTAACAAACATATGTAAAATATATGTTAAAATGACTTTTTTTATTTTTTTTTTAACAAAATCTGGACTATACTTTAATATAATTTTTAAATATATGCTTTTAGAAAATGTATTTAAATAAAAAAAAATTTAGAATACATGTTACAATATATTAGCGTAGGCCAATTTACTGTGAATATATGTCACATATATATATTTTTTTCTAAATATATTGGAAATATATTTCTCTTCTGCTAGGGTTAACTGTCTAGGAGGTACAGGAACAGGCAGGATTACTTATCCCATACCCAGTTTTTACCAGCTCCAGTGCTCTCCTCTTCTCCTTGAAGCTCCGGTCTGTGGGTGGTCTTTCGGCATATTCACATACAAAGTGGGGCTATTAGCCAAGTATTAACCTAAATATTTAAGTAATCAAGCATGGCCAGGAGTTCCCTAGAGAGGAAGGACTGATGAAGGGACCCTACTATGATACAGAATAGGGCACGTATTTATTCTTATTCTTGTAACCCTGGACATAGAATAATTTAACTCTTGCACTGCAAGGGGAGCTGAATGCAAGAGAAGATTTTTTTTCTAATTCTTGGGATTGGGCTTTACCTGTTTTATTCCGATTACAGGATGTAGCATTTTTTGGAATAAACTAAAAGCATGTTAAAATATTCTTTATCACCCTTTTACTTTTATACAAACAGATGCACACAGGGGACGAATGGGCAGCAACGGTAAGTAGATAGTACATTGTTAATGGGTGATGGGCCATCAGCACAAAAGCAAGAGGGTGGTATCAGAGTGTGGGGGAGATAATGATCTACATTGTAACATAGGAGATCCCAATCATTCTAAAGAATAACCCATTCATAGAAGGACTAGGATACGCACCCGCTGTTTCATAACACATTTTGGAATTCTTTAAAGTAACCCTGTAACAAAGTAAGGAAATTCAAAACTGGCCTAAGATGAAAAATTGGGTACACGGTACCTTCAGCAAAGAAATTAAGTGCAAAGTTCCAGTGTTCTTGTAAATGATGATCTTGGCTTTACCACCTCTGGCCTTCCAAGGCCCCCCTATCTTTCAATAAAATAAATCTAAAACCAACCTTTTTACTTTCTAGCTTGGAAAGAGTGTTGAAGCCCAATTGAACCCTGGATGAAATGCCCAACTTGAAAATGTTCCCCTGCAGTGGGGTTGTGCCAACACTGCAAGGGTTATCAGCTTATTTAGGTCTAGGGGTCATCAAAAAGAAGATTTACTTACCTCATTCTCTGCTTCCCTGTGCTCCTAAAATGGTTTTGCAGTGTCTTCACTGCCATGCTCCAGTTGTTTAAGATCCAGACATCATCAAGACCACTGCAAGGTCTAAAAGCATTGCACTGGATGTGGTGATGTAGAGGGACAGTCCATCACTGGAGTAGAGGAGATCCCCATCTGCTGAGATAGCGGAGGATCTGGTAAGAATAAATATGCAAGTAACCCCTGAAGCCTCACTTCAAGGGAGATAATTTCTATCATGTATGCACAATCTTTAATTTGCAATTGTAGAGTATTTGCATTAAGAAAATAAATCTGATTTTGCTTTAAGGCCGAACTCACACCTGAATGTTTTGTAGCTTGAAGTTCCTCAACACTCAACATCTAAAATATTTCAATGGTGACTATCCACATATGAACACACTTGCACCTGTAGATCGACACCTGATACTCCAGAAGTTACACAAAATAACTTTAACACAGAATGACCATTTTTGGTCCCATACATTTGAACGCTTAAAAATGCATAATTAGAGCACTTTCATGTGTTTTTTTTCGGATGTTTCAGAAGCTACAAAAGACATGTAAAAGCTTAAAATGGCTCAACAAAAATACACCTGAAGACTCCTGAAATTCACTTTGTTCAGGTGTGAATAAGCCTAATGCAGCATGTATGGTACAATAGTATGTTTTATTTTTATATGTGTTACCACATATACCTCTCCCTGTCCCTCTCATCTTCCTCTCCCTCTCCCTCTCCCTCTCATCTTCCTCCCCCTCTCTCTCTTCCTCTTCCTCTCCTCTCTCCTCTCCCTCTCCCCACCCATCTCCCTCCCTCTCCTATCCTCTCCCTCTTCTCTCTCCTTCACTCCCTCTCCTCTTCCTTTCCCCCTCCCCCTCTCCCTCTTCTCTCCTCTCCTCTCCCTCTTCTCTCCCTCTCTCTCCTTTGCTCCCTCTCCTCTTCGTCTCCCTCTCATCTTCCTCTCTCTCTTCCATTCCTCTCCTCTCCCTCTCCCCATCCCTCTCCCTCTCCTCCCCCACTCCCCCTCCTCTCCCTCTTTCTCTCCTCTCCTCCTTTTCCTCTCCCTCTCGTCTTCCTCTCCCTTTCCCTCTTCTCTCCCTCTCCTCTCCCCCTCCTCTTCCTTTCCCTCTCTTTTTCCTCTCCCTCTTGTCTTCATCTCCTTCTCTCCCTTTCACTCTCCCTCCCCTCTCCTCTCCTCTCCTCTCTTCTTCTCTCCCTCTCTCTCTCCCTTCCCCTCCTCTCCCTCTCTCTCTCTCTCCCCCCTCTCTCTCTCTCCTTCTTCCTCTCTCCCTCCTCTTCCTCCCCCTCTCTCCCTCCTCTCCCTCTCCCTCTTGCTCTCTTTCTCTCTCTCCCTCTGCTCTCCTCTCTTGTATACTGTTTTTTTATTTGCCTACAGCACATGCAATGAACAGGACACATACTTCAGAAATAAAAATCCTGGGGTTTGGAAACCTTCAAGATTTTAGGTATTTTATATTCTTTATATTCTTAATCATCTACCTGGTGACCATAACTGGAAATGCTGTTATCATTTTATTGGTGTCAACTAATTATCGCCTTCAATCACCAATGTTCATCTTCTTGGGTAACTTGTCCTTCTCCGATGTCCTTCTAACCACAAACATTGTTCCTAGCATGCTCCAAGTAACATTATTGGGGGTTAGCACTGTGCCCCTTAGAAGTTGTATTGCACAGTATTTAGTGTATGGAGGTTCAGCATGCATGGAGTGTCTTCTGCTCACGGTTATGTCTTATGACCGATATCTGGCCATATGTAAGCCCTTGCACTACACCACAATTATGGATCTTAAGCTTTGTTTATATCTGGTTTTATGTTCCTGGTTATTGGGATTTACTTCAACACTCATCCCAGTATTGATCATGCAAACCTTGTGGTTCTGTGGTCCCGATGTGATTGACCATTTTTTCTGTGATTTTCTTCCTCTCTTGAAATTATCTTGCTCAGATGTATCTGTAGCAAAGTATGTGGTGTTTGCCCTATCCAGTCTAGTGACAGTTCTACCATTTGGGTTCATCACCTTCACATATGTTTGTATTTTTTTGACCATCTTGAGGATTACTTCGGTCACTGGAAAACAGAAAACCTTCTCTACTTGTAGTTCCCACCTTACCGTTGTATGCACTTATTATGGGGCACTGTTTGCCATGTATGTAGTACCCTCAGGACAGCAATCTTTGGCCATGAAAAAGGTGGTTTCACTGTTGTACACTGTGGTCACCCCACTACTGAACCCCATAATCTACAGCTTGAGAAACCAAGAGATCAAGTTGGCCATACAGAAATACCTATCAGTCTGCAAGACAAGCTATATAAATTGAATAAGGTTAACCATTTGACCTCCGGAAGGTTTTATCCCCTTCATGACCAGGGCATTTCTTTGCTATTCAGCCTTGCGCTACTTTAATTGGTAATTTCTCAGTCATGCAACACTGTACCCAAATTAAATTTATTAATCGTTTTTACACAAATAGAGCTTTCTTTTGATGGTATTTTTATAACCACTGGTTTTTTTTATTGTTTATTATACAAATTAAAAAATACTGAAAGTGTTGGGAAAAAATATTTTCTACTTTTCGTTATAAACATATCCAATTAAAAAAATGAATTTCTTCATAAATTTAGGCCAAAATGTAATGCTCCATGTATTTGCTAAAAAAGAAAATCCCAATAAGTGTGTATTAATTGGTTTGTGTGAAAGTTAGAGGGTCTACAAACTATGGAATTTATACTGGAATTTGCACAGCCATGATGCTATACTGGTAAGGTCAGTGACCAATGACTTATAGTGGGCCTGTGGTAGTGTAGTGTAAAATCTAGCACTAGATGATGCTGGCTGGGAGGTACACTAACTGACTCACTGGCATCAATGGTGACACTAATACAATAATCAGTGCTAATATTATACACTGTCACTGTACCAGGGACACTGGCTGGTAAGGCGTTAACATCAATCATGGGGTTAAATCAGAACTCCACCCAACAGGGGAAGTTCCGTTTGTCTGCCCCCCCCCCCCCCCTCACTGCCACATTTGGCACTTTTTGAGGGGGAGGAGGGAGCAGGTATCTGGTTTTGACAGGTACCCGCTCCCAGTTCTAGGTCAGATCGCTCAGGCAATCTGAGCTGGAAGTAATTGTAGCTACACATAATGTGACGCTCTGGGAGAGCCTAGAGCGTCACATTAAGTGTGTCTTACAATGTGTCATGTATATAATGATTGCTGCTTTTACTTTACTATCTGGCTGATTTTTATTCTGCTTTTTCAGAATGATTTGCAGGTGTGAAAGTGACGACATGTTTTGCGATGAAAACGGAACTGATGTAACATTCTTTTGCTTCCGCTGTGTGATGAGACACTAAGCTAAAAGGCAGTGGTGGACTGACAACTCATGGGGCCCCCGGGCAGTAAGGGATCATGCGGCCCCTGTGTCCTCGCCCACACTCAAACCACACCCAAAAAAGCCTATGAAAGGTACCAGGGGCATCTCATGGGGCCCCCTACCAACCCTGGGCCCTAGAGCAGTGCCCGAGTTCCCAAATGGTCAGTCTGCCCCTGCTAACAGGTGAGAAGCCTCACTTTGATCATTCATGGCCAGGGGCGGACTGACAACTCACGGGGCCCCCGGGCAATAGGGGATCATGGGGCCCCCGTGTCCTTGCCCAAACTCAATAAAGCCTATGAAAAAGGTACCAGGGGCATCTCATGGGGCCCCCTACTGACCCCGGCCCTCAGCCAGTGCCCGTGTTTCCATTGGTCAGTCCGCCCCTGTTCATGGCATCCACTGTTAGTAATATGGAGTCATGTCAGAGCTTACTGAGCTTCAAAGAGGGAAAACTATTGGTGCTGTTTAGCTGGTGCTTCTGTGACTGAAGTTGCCAATTTATTTGCCGTGCCATGAGGTACAGTATCAAAGTTTCTGACGGCATATACATTTTCCAGGAAAAATGTCGTTTGATAAGCATAGGCACGGTCGATATGGTCAGCTGACCAAAAGAGACAATTTTGCACAGGATTAAGATCCAGAATATGGAAACAACTGCTGCAAAAGTGACTGCAGATCTCATTCTCAATCTTCACAGGACTCATGGGACTGAGATTGAGCTCTGCATTCACTTTTACATCAGTTGTCTACATCACTTCCAATTTTAATGCAAAACACGTCATCACTTTCACACCTGCAAATCATGTAGTGCTTCCATTTTTTGTATAACCCCTGTACATTCAGTCTTAGCTGATGCTTGGTCATACTATGGGTCAGCTTTCTAGGCATTATATCGGATACACTTGGACTCTTAACAATACAACTGTAATCAGATACAATTAGGTCCCTCCAGTAGACCCAAACACACAACATCCCGTCATTTCCACACAAGAAACACAACAAAATATACACAATACAAAAATGTGACATGAATACTATATGGAGGAGAGAGGAGCCGAATCTGGGAAGTCATGCCACCACCATCTTGCTAGCGCAGCGGTGAGCTGGATCAGGGGTGAACTGACCATTTGGAAACTCAGGCACTTCCCAAGGAGTCAGTAGGGGGCCCCATGAGATGCCCCTGGTACATTTTTTTTTTTCTTCATAGGCTTTTTTGAATTTGGGCAAGGACACAGGGGCCCCATGATCCCCTATTGCCCGGGGGGGCCCCATGAGTTGTCAGTCCGCCCCTGACTGTACCCAAACACTTTTTGTATCATTTTTTCTCACTAATAAAGCTTTCTTTTAGTAGTAATTAATCACTGAGTTTTTAAATTTTTTTGCAATATAAAACAAAAAAAGAGCAACAATTTTGAAAATAAACACGTTTCTATTATTCTATGCCCCTGGTACCTTTTTCATAGGCTTTTTTAAGTTTGGACATGGACACAGGGGCCCCATGATCCCCTATTGCCCGGGGGGCCCCATGAGTTGTCAGTCCGCCCCTGGGCTGGATGTGAACTGATTTTATGTGAGTTTTGTCTTTTACATCTGTAAGTGTTATATGGAGAGCAGTATGTGTTGGCCTTGTTGTTTCATGAGACCTTCCCTGCTTGATGTGTGAGCAAAAACGAGTTCTAGAGAAGTTAGGAGGAAGACTTGAATCTGAATTGGAAGAGCTGAAAGAGCAAGAAAAAAAAAAGAAAGAAAAAAATAGTGAAGCGCTTATATCACATAAAAAATAAATAAATAAAATTAAAGTGCATTCAAAAAAATTAATAATATAAATTTCGTATTCTCATGTGACAAATCTATGTAGTACACACTAATGTACACAGTAATGAAACAAATAGTGCAACCAAATGTATTTATACTTTAGTGAATTAACACACACTGTGAAAAAACCTATTATGCAGTGCATATAATTAGAAACTCCAATGTACAAAATAAGAGTGAATAAAATAGTGAATAAAAACTCATATAATATATCGATTATCCACATAAAATAGTGCCTTATTCACACACACTATATATACATCATGAGTGAAAAAGAAAAAATGCCCATGCATGTGACTCTGTGCTTTTTTGAAAAACACACGTGTTCTCCACTTCTAGGCGCAAATTAAATCCACCAAATGGCAGCAATGCCTGCTCACCTCCCCTCCTTGACCCACTCAGGGCCCCAAAGCTGTTTCCACCTCAGTGGTATATCTCCTCTGGCAGACTCCTTATTCCATCTCCTCTCTTTTTTTTTTTCCCAAAAAACAAAGTTTATTGAAAACAAGATACAAGTGATCACACGAAAATGTACAGATGAAGTGTACATAGGACATACAGCAAAGCATGTATCATACAAAGGTAAATGAGGTCCAACGCAAAACCAAACAGTGTGGATGAACTAGGCCACGACAGGGTTGTGCCTGTAATATTTAGGTAGGCTTGTCAAGTGCTAAAAAGAAAGAGACGTTTGGCCTCCTACCATATTGTCTTGCGGTAAAAATCTGTAGGGGGAAGACGAGCAAATACGATACCTAAGTAGAAGTCAATACTACAGAATACGATGATGGAATTGTGCGAATGTAGGAGTAATTGTCGTGGGAACCGCTGACGAATTGCGGGAGGTGATGCTGACCACCTACTCAATGTTCTATTGGAAAAATTGTCCGAGACGTGTGTAAGCATATGAAAAGAAAAGACAAGAGAGGGCGAGAAAAAAGGGAAAGAAAGAAAGAGAGAGAGAAAAAAAAAAAAAGAAGGAGGGGAGGGGGGGGAGGGAAGGGGGGAGGGAGGAAGGGAAGCAAATATGGAGGGTAAAATAAGAGAGGGGACAACTGTCAAAAATATCTTATCCTCAATACAAACAGTAACGGGAGTGGGTGGAACATACGCTTTCATCGGCGTCGAAAGAATGCGCATGTAACACAGGGGGGAGTATGATAGCACCCTCAGGTCAAATACTACTAAATGACACTATCGAGAAGTCCATATCAGGTTCAGACAGGCTGGTCCATGAGGGATCGATACTCCGGGGTAGTCAGAAAATGGGTCCAACAGGCCCATACGTGAGAGAATTTCGTAGGAGTGTCGAGAGCAGTCGCAACCAGTTCTTCCATGTCCGCCGTTTTACCCACTCGGGTGAGCCATTCACGTATAGAGGGAGAGCGAGTGGAGCCCCACAGAACCGGAATACAGAGTCTGGCTGCGTTGATCATGTGCATGGCTAATGATTTAAAGTACTGAGCCCTGGGAAGGGAAGAATGATGGAGGAGAAATTGAGCAGGAGAGAGAGCTAAGGGTAAGGTACTTATAGACACTACTAACCTGTGGACCTCCTGCCAAAATGGTTGAAGAATCGGGCAAGACCACCAAATGTGAAGAAAGGACCCATCCGGAGTCCCGCATCTCCAGCAGCTGTTGGGGAAGGCGGGGTTAAAATGATGAATTCTTGAAGGAGTTCGGTACCATCTAGAGGCTATTTTGTAGCTGTTTTCTTGTGTCGAGACATTGAGGGAACATTTATGAGAGTATTGGAAGACCAGGTCCCAGTCTGAGTCCGACAGCTCAGCATTAAGATCTCTCCTCCAAGCCCGACATGCGGGGAGGGAGTCATAAGACCGGCTCTCCACTAGAAGCGGGTAGATCTCCGAGATCAGATGTTTCCGCGGTTCAGCCTTCGCGCATGCAGATTCAAATGGGGTAAGAGAGCGATGCCAGTTATGAGGGGGTTTATGAGAGAGCAGATAATGTCTGATCTGGAAATATACCCAGAAAGGGAATTCGCGAATACCCAGGCTTTCCATCTCCTCTCTTAATTCTCCACTCCAGAATTGTCCTCTTGATTTACCACAACCTATGGATAAATCTGCATGCACTGGGGAATCCAATATGGCCGCGGCGT